CTGATAATGCGTGGTACTATGTACATTAGACAAATGGATCTAAAAACTTAATAATTATTGATTAGTCTGTGTTTAAAGCTGAGGTTATTTAGTTGTTCCTTCCTAATGTTAGCCAGAAGGTGGTAGTTCTTTAGTGCAGTATTTTGATGCATATAGCCCATGGGTTATCTGTTTAAAAAAACCCAAACATTTTGAATTCCTATATACATTCAGTAAATAGAAGTGGAAAAACACATCCCTGCAAGCATCCAGTTGTGCTCACACCCTGTCAGGCTTTGACAGGATGACAAAAGTCACCACCACTAAATATTTATTTTACCTATGAATTCAGTAAGAAATGTTCCCTCTTACCAGTTTCAAACTTGGCTTTGCCAGTCTCCTGCTTTACTCCTATGAACGTAGGAAACTACAACTCCTTTGTGAATTGTGTGGCAGTAGGTTCTGTTTCAAGTGAATGTTGCATAGCAGTAAGAAGGCAGGAGGAACAGAAAGAAGCAGAGCTTTCAAAATAAGAATTGTGTATTCTTTATGTATTTGAGAAAGCCTGTAGACAATTTAAAATAAGATGTACCTGTATGTGTTTCTTGTCCGTCTTTAGAATTCATTGTAGTAGCAAATTTGTTCACTTCAGTGCAAGTTTTATCTCATTTTTTTTTCCAGAAAAATAACCTGATCCCTTCATTGTAGAAAAATAGCTTCTGTATAATTTATTTTGAATCATTTCTCTTTACTATCAGAGAAAAGGGTAAGTTTAGCTGCCATTTTATTTTTCCCTTTCTAAGAGTTCTTAGGCAGAGAAAACATCCTCCTGTAAGCCAGAAGGATAGGAGACTTCCTGCTGCATCTGCAGACAGAGAGCTGGGAGTCCTGGGGATTCTTCAGTCAGACAGAAGTCTGGAATTCATTCTTTTTGAGCTTTCACAGAATTAATTGGATTAGAAGCTCCAGGTAAACAGGACATCATTCACAAGCCAGAGAAGGTGGTCAAGAATTTATTCATTATCTCAATTATTTTTTTTTTTCTTCCCCAGAAATACTTTGAGGAAGGGGAAAAAAGTTTATTATCTATTTTTAGAATAAAATTTAGTTACCTAATTTGTGAAAATCCATCTAGGTTTGGAGAGTATGGAGAAATTAAATGCTGTCAGATAAATGCCTAAGAGAGAGCACCGTGAAACTTTGCTGTTTCTGAGATACAAGCCATTGTCATCCCTTCCTGTCCATTTTCTCCACCTGGGAACTTCTACAAAAAATTCCTATAAATAAATATACTTTTCAATTAATTGAATCTGAATTGTAGGCAGCCTGAAACTTCATCTATTTTGATGGTAAATTCAACATTCTGAACGTGTCAGGTTTGTGTACTCGCGGTGCATAACTGGCGTAGAGATTGGCAGAGGAAGAAACTGCAGTTTTGGCAACTAGGTAAGGGGCTTTTTGTACCCAGTGAGGCATGGGGAGACAGTTTGCATTTCAACACAGGCAGAAAACATTCTGACCACACGATTACATGATCAACAGTGGAACAAGAAAATATCGATAAGTGGTTTACTGTATTTTGGTGCCTGTAACCTGGGGGTTATCTGTTTAAAAACAAAACTGCAATTCAGCAACAGTGGCAGGGATCTGGATATGCACAGATAATACCAGGGGAAGTTTATTCTGGGACCTGTCTCCTTCAGAGCTTCACAGCCTCTGATTTCCCCATAGCTTTGCATCCTTTCCCATAGTTCACTCTCACCATCCCAGTAGTCCCTCAGATTTGTGTACGTTGTCTGAGGTTCAGACTGTATAAAATAAAAGCTGGTATTATCTTTAGCTTTCAGAGTTAATTGCTCATTGAAATGAGCAAGGCTTTTTTAGGAAAGAAAATAGGACACAAGTTTTTTGTTTTGTTTTGTGGGGGGTTTTTGGTTTTGACCCTCAGGGTGTGATGTAATTCTGTAAACTTAAAAATAAAAGCAAAACTTAGAGCATTTATACCCTGCAATCTCTGAGGAGCATATATAGCAATATATTCTGCAGCTAATCCAGGGCTTCAGAAGTGTAAAAAAAAGTGAGATTTCATCTGCACTATGTAGAACTTTTTAATGTTCATATTGTCAGATTAGCATCACATTTAAATGTGTAGCTGCAGTCCATAGAGCTTGGAATTTCAGACATTGTTTCTATTATCCTTTGAATAGAAACAGTCAAAGAATGGATCTGGAAGCTGGCAGGAATTTGACATCTGAGCAAAAAATAAGTGTGTTTAGCTCTCTTATTTTTCTTTCTTTGTGGCCAATGGCTAGGATGACTTGTGGTTTTTATAATTCCAGAGTAACATTGATTCCTCATTTAATTCTTCTTATTTCTGTGCAGTAACAAAACACCATCTTTTTCCACTCTTTTGGATATTTGCACAAGTGAAGTCCGTATGTCTTTCAATTTCACTAACCTGATGTCTTTAACTAAATGACATTAAACCTGTTTGTACACTAGTGTTTTGTCACTGAAATTGCTATCCTTACTGCAGAAGCATGTTGCCCTGGGGCACTGAGTCTTGGCTAACATGCCTTCACATATTTATTCACCATTCTGGTATTGATTCTTCCTTCCCCCTTGAATTTTACATAACAGCATGTAAAATATTTTTGGCATTGTTCATCGAATGAAGTGAGCACTTCTCAAGAAAAATGAGAGTAAGTATAACAAGAATTAAAAAATAATGTGTAGCAGGATAGTTGCACAAAACTAATGTTTAAATTATCAAAGCCAGCAGACTGAATTTGACGTGGAGTATAACAGCGTGACAATGCCTGTAACTTGTTGCAGTTTTGTCTTAATGGAACAAGCAGATTTGACTTCACAGAATCACAGAATATTAGGGATTGGAAGGGACCTCGAAAGATCATCCAGTCCAATCCCCCTGCCAGAGCAGGAACCTAAATGAGATCGCACAGGAAGGCGTCCAGGCGGGTCTTGAATGTCTCCAGAGAAGGAGACTCCACACCCTCCATTTTGGGGAGCAGAGAGATGAGGGAAAGGGTGGGAATAGGATCAAACGATAATGACTTAGGGATTTTCTTCAGTAAACTAATCAATCTCAGTAACCTTTTTAAAACCTATTTTCTGGAATATCTGTTGCCAGCATCATCTTTCATTGAACTTGCAGTGAGCATGGTTGCTGGGTACTTTACTGGCTACTTTAAAAAGCTAAAGATGACTGGAAAACCAGAAGGAATTAATTCTGGTCTTCATGGGTAAGACCAGAATTTACAGTGTTGGTCGATAGATTTATGTGAACAGTGGCAAGAACCCCACCATATCTTCTGCTGTTCTAATCCTAAAAACCTGAAGTGTTTCTGTGGGCTCATTTTAGCAAAACCATCAAGTGAGCTCCAGGCTCAATTCAGCATTTGAATATGATGTGTTTTACACAACATAGCACTTGTCAAGTGGGAAGCCTGTAAGATGCATCTGAAGGTAGGTACAGCAATTTACTGGGAGCTAATAAAGTGAGCTGTGCTCTTTAATGGTGGTAACTTACACTTAGCAGGTAACTTACACCTTTTTCATTAAAGAATAGCCTTCCTTGCATTTACTGCATGTAAACATGTGTGAAGTAGTAACTGTTGAGTATCTGAAGCGTGCTAAATTCACATCCTCTCTTATTTTGCAGTAACATGCATATTTCTTTGTATTATGAGGCCTAACTCCTTTTAATAACCTTTCAATTAACCTCACTGTAGGCAGAAAATAGGAAATACTCTTTTTTTTTTCTTTCAGAGGTTGGAAATGGTTATTTATGAAAAAATAATTGACATGCTGTTAAAGTGCAAGCATGAAGAAAGCTGTATATACTGGCCATCACAGCTGCCACAGCGTGCATTCCTTGATGCTCTAAGAGCTTATTTTGTGGTTGTATCAACCACATACATATGACTTAATCTGAATCCATGTTGGACTTGAATTAATCACACCTGGAGTGCTCAGATACACCCAGCTGCTTCTGCAGCACTCTGTCTGTAATCAAATATCTCTGCATCTCACAGTGCATCCAGTATTATCCAGATTATCTCCCCGTTAGTCTGGGTATTGGAGATGTAACAAGAGGTCTGTATTGTGTGTATAAATACACCTCACAGTTTCTTGATCAACATGTTATTGCTGTTTTAATGATGGAGCAGCTGAGGTGTTCTGATCAGTGCTTTCA